ATCTAACAGAGTTTATTTGCACCCTGCTGTATTACCACTGTATTCCATCAAAGTAGCATCACAAAATATAAAGCCCAATGTAAGCTCCAAAACTATAAAGGGCATACCTCAAGAATAATCCAACTTCAAAATACTCTTCAGAAAATAAATATATACTTAAGTGTATATATAAAAAACAAGACATCACAACTATCACACAAATGATGGCAACTTATTTAGTGCACAGGATTTTAAAGTTATCGATTGTGTTGCCAAGCCTACAAATTATAAAAAAAAATATTTTAACCATGTATTTATAAATTCATTTACTCTATGATACCTGTGTGTCTAACTTAAGGGAATTTGTGAATTAGTTAAACAGGACCAAATGTATTTATGTTATATCTAGATCCAGCAACATCCATAGGAAGAAATCTAAAATCTCAGTAAAAAAGATTTAGGCTTATATTTGAAAATAACATAGTGAGAAACAATAAAAAAAATGTTTTCCTCTTGGTTTCTTCCCTTTCTCATCTATTTTCTTAGTTGTAAGAGATCCCTCTCTTTTTTCCTGCCGTCCTCTTTTCCCTCCTCCATCTCCTCTGCCCTCCTCCTTTGTCCTCTCAGTGCTGATATACTTCCTTCTCCTTAAGATTGTTACCTATCATAAAAGCGAGCCTATTTGTTTAACAAGCAAGTTAATGAAAAGTCTGATTTTGGACGAAGCAAGAAGAAATGTCATGTCCTTTTCATGTTACAACTTTGTGCTCATTGAAAAGAGGTGATAATTTACTTACTTTCACATATTGACACAGTTTCTTCCAGCAATAATAACGTGAGTTAACCACAGAGCTGCCAATAGCTCCACCTGTCGATGCAAATCAAACCACTTTGTTGAATGGGGAGGGGGAAAATTATTTTATAGTAATTAAGAAATGCATTTTACTTTAGATAACATTTTAATACCTTAGTTATGCTTTTATTTCATAGGACTATGTTAATATGTTTTGTTCATGTTAATGATTTTTGGGAAGGGCATCCCACTGTCAGCCTCCCGGATTTACCGCCCGACATATGGTGGTAAAACAGTAATTAAATGATTCAATCCTCTGTGAACCAACTAATGCTAGCTTTTGATAATTGGTGTGTTCATCACAATCTGTATATATCTACTTTACCTTAGGTGCCTGATGCCATTTTGAAGTGCCAGCGTGCAGGCATTACAGTACGTATGGTGACAGGCGACAACATAAACACAGCCAGAGCCATAGCTATCAAGTGTGGAATCATCCATCCCGGAGAGGACTTTCTCTGCATCGATGGCAAAGAGTTCAACAGAAGGATCCGTAATGAGAAAGGAGAGGTACTGTTGTCACGTTAACAGTGAGGCAGAGAATAGGTGGCATACTTGAAATTTATAGAGAAAACATCTAAACTGCAACCAGTTCTTCTTATTTTCAAAAGTTTTTGTTTTTTCAATATTTCTGTGCTGTCATAAACTGGTGTGTGTATGTGTGTGTGCGTGTGGCAAGGTGGAACAGGAGCGTATTGACAAGGTGTGGCCTAAACTCAGAGTTCTGGCCAGATCATCCCCAACAGACAAACACACTCTCGTCAAAGGTAAGTTAGTGGCATCTTTTCTGAAAAAATGCAATTTAGCTTGAATTAATTAAAAAAAATAGGTTAATTGATTGTTTTTGTTTGTTTCTCTTTTTCTGTCAAACTAATAATCATCAAGGAATTTCTTATTAAGCCATATTAGGGTGTCATATGGATTGAATGATGTGTGCGGCATGCTCTGCTCTGTTTGCTTTGACAGGAATTATTGACAGCACTATGGCGGATCAGAGACAGGTGGTGGCTGTGACAGGAGATGGCACCAATGATGGACCTGCTTTAAAGAAAGCCGATGTGGGGTTTGCAATGGTAAGCAACCCTGCATTGGACTGTTTTTTGTTTATGTTTTTCTTTTAAATGACTAACTAACTGAGCCTCAACATCTCCTAACATATTTCCATTCCAGCACTCTGCCTTCATATTTGCTGTTTCCGAGCTCCCCCTACCTGTTGAATAGAGTCACACAAATTAGAATTTCTTAGCCTCCTCTATCAAGTATTTTTTTAAATGTAACCCTTAAGAAATTAAAAAGTAAGAATATTACACACACATCAACCTGTGTAAATTGTTACTCTTTGTTAATTTTGATGATTATGACATAGAGTTGATGACACTCCAAATCCTGTCTCCTACATACATAGAATAAAACTAAACACTAATGACAAAAAGAGAATTCTAAAACACCAATAAGTATGTCCATGCAAAGAACAGTAGTTGTTTGGGGTTTGCTGTCACTCATACACAGTAGTACCAGGGTCGTTAAACTAGGTATTTAGACTTTTTGCGGTGCTGATGGGGGGAACGACATCTCTATAAAAGGATGGAAGGAAAATGAGCTCTTAACATTCCCCAGTCGATGATTGTGCAGAAATATGACTTGATAAAACAACAAATATGATGATGGGGTACCCAAAATTATTACTGAAGGGAAACTTCACCCTGGAGATTGGACAACTGTGCCTCTTAACCTTCCTCTGGACTCTGAGCCTGTAATCTCTACATGAAATGGAAAATGTACTTTCATTTCAAAGTGGGAGTTTGAAATACTTGCACCAGTCAATCCTTTTTTTGTTTCCAAAAAAGTAAAAAAAAATAATCCACTGGACTTGGTTTGAATATTTTTTATTTTATTTTATACACTCTAATAATCCCAGAAGGAAATTACTTCTCTGCATTTAAACCATCTCCCTGGGGAGCAATAGGCCGCCACTCCAATATGTTTCGCTTCCCATCCAGGAAGCTTTTTCAATTCAAAATGTCTAAATTAACGTTGAATTTTAAGCTTTATATGGTAGCCTAAAACTTGTTTTGGCTTAAAAAAAACATGCAAATTGAACCAGAAGAATGGGTTTAATTTGCATGTTTACTCCATTTTCTCCTTAGCCTGAGAAAGACAATGATCAGTACTGTATAGTGCTAATCCATGCCTCGAATATGTCCAGGTGCAGTGGCTCTTGAGGCATTGCTTTAAACCACATTCCAAACCTTGTGTATCTTTTTTAAACATTTCAGTGGATTTTGATTTACGATCCTCTCATGGATGCAGTCCATGATCCTCTCATTATCTGCTGCTATTACATCTTTTTCTTTCCACTTTTCTACAATTATTCTTGGTTAGAAAATACTGTAAAAAGCCTGATTCATCAACACTTATTTTCTGTGGTTTTTGTCTAATTCATTGTTGGTTGTACATTTTGGGTTGAGCTAAAGAAAAATGATAATATTGAATATTCATTTAAATTCACAAATGCTTCAGGTTAAGCATGTGAAATAAATTTATATTTTCGAATTTAGTTTCATAGTTATAGACACCTAACATTACAGTATGTTTCACTCATAACTTCTGAATACATTTTTAGGTTCAATGATAAACCTACAAAATTATTTTTTTTTACTTTTCCTGACCTGGTTTTTAATAAGCATGAGCTCAAATAGCACAATGACATTTATGGATTTTGCTTCTCAACATTTTCCATGTTCTAACTAAGAACCAAATCCCAAAGTTTAAAATGATATACTTTCTTTTTAAATTTGGAATGTGTGATCTCAAAATAGGTGTGTTATGTCTTTAAGCTATTTCAAATGCCATGTGAGTTTATTATTCTTATTTTCTTAATAATCAAATAGTGTCTGGAACCCCGCTTGGGATAAGCGTGATGAAAAATGGATGGATGGATGGATTGTTTTCACCCCATTTCCACCAGAAACCATTTTTCATTCACAGAGAGGAACGATTTGAAATGGTTTGCTTCATTTCTGTATTTTATTTTTGCTCTTTCAGGGTATAGCTGGAACAGATGTGGCCAAGGAGGCGTCAGACATTATTCTCACAGATGATAACTTCAGCAGCATCGTGAAGGCAGTTATGTGGGGGCGAAATGTATACGACAGCATTTCCAAGTTTCTACAATTCCAGCTTACTGTCAATGTTGTAGCTGTCATAGTCGCTTTCACTGGAGCCTGCATCACACAGGTAAGAGCCGTTAAACAGATGTATTAACATTATCTTTTAACACCAGTGTAATGTTCATTTCCATTTTTGGGACAGAGACAATGATTTTCTGATCTGTAGTTTTAAAAATAGTAAGTGGAGTTATGAAATAAAAGCAAAATTATATTTGTGTTAGTATAAAAAAAAAACTGTACATAGGTATGAACGGAATGATTGTGTCTACTATTTTTCCAGTTGTATTGGAGTTTTTCTTTTATGAGGAAATTTGTGTTTGATTTCCCCAGGATTCTCCACTTAAAGCAGTGCAGATGTTGTGGGTTAACCTGATTATGGATACTTTTGCATCTCTGGCCCTGGCGACGGAGCCTCCCACAGAGTCCCTGCTGAAGAGAAAACCATATGGTCGCAATAAGCCTCTTATCTCCAGCACTATGACCAAGAACATCCTGGGACATGCAGTCTATCAGCTCATCATCATCTTCACACTTCTGTTTATTGGTTTGGACAATACATTTGTTCCTAATAATAATTTATCTCAATAAATAAAACAGCAAAATCAAATAGTTCATTTAATGTTCTGTATTCCCACCAGGTGAGAAAATATTTGACATTGACAGTGGTCGTAATGCTCCTCTCCACTCTCCTCCATCTGAGCACTACACCATCATCTTCAACACCTTCGTCATGATGCAGCTGTTTAATGAGATAAATGCTCGTAAAATACACGGAGAGAGGAACGTATTTGAAGGGATCTTCAGGAACCCAATTTTCTGCTCCATCGTTTTTGGCACATTTGCTATACAGGTAAACAACTGCAGATGTTTCCTTTATATTAGTTTGTGTGTCTTATTAATCATACTGTACTATTTATTTTTAAATCACACGGAAAACGTGCATTATCTGTATTTTTTATGTTTAATAAATCAACGTCATTTTATCTTTCTTATGCTTGACTTTTCTGTTCAGATTGTGATCGTGCAGTTTGGAGGCAAGCCATTCAGCTGTCAGCCTCTAGACCTTGAAAAATGGATGTGGTGTGTTTTCCTGGGGATGGGAGAGCTTGTTTGGGGACAGGTACCTCTATAATAAAGAATTGTCTATTTTCTTGGACTGCTTTGTATATTTTGTTGCATTTTTGCTATATGTGCTCTTTTTTGTTTGTTTTTTTTTTTTTTTGTTTAGGTGATTGCCACCATACCCAACAGCAACCTTCGCTTCCTACGTCGGGCGGGCCAGTTAACTCAGAAAGATGAGCTACCAGAAGATGACGTGAACGAGGAGAACGAGGAGATTGATCATGCAGAGAGGGAGTTACGGAGAGGTCAAATCCTTTGGTTCCGAGGTCTGAACCGCATTCAGACTCAGGTAAGAATTCTGTCTTGAGTTAAATTTTCATCAGACATTTTAAAAGAAAAACATTAAAACTTCCAGACATGAATTTCCTTTTACTTTATTCATCCTCTTTCCTGGCACCTGTTTTCCAAAACAGTTGTGCGGATCTTTTTTGTGTTTAGGTGATACATACCGAAATGAAATTAGTATACCTATTAACTGCCAGAGATTCTAATGATTAGAATTTGTTATGGTTTCAATTTTGCATGATATTTAAGACATTCATGTCACAATGTTAAAGTCATTTTTCTTTCAAGATGATGAATTTAGGAACATGAAGATCTGACTTGTCCTGGATGGATGGAAAACCTGTGGACCTTCAGCAGAAATGAAATGAATCTTATTGTTGAGTTCTGAAGACCGGTATCACTGTGAAAGTTAACATGATTTTGCCTTCATGTTGAACTTGATTTCATCTGTAATGTGTCCCGATTGGTCCTGTGTGTAGCTATCCCACAGCATTCTTTAGTAATGGAAAGGGTTCATCTTTATATGAAAAATCTCAACTGATGCTTTTAGACGTATATAGTGAAAAATAAACTGAGTTCAAATTATCCCAATTTAATTTGATCAGGTCTTCTTTGACAATAAAAAGTTTTAGATGGGACTTCTTTTTCAATTATTTTGAGTTGAGTCCTTGTGCATTACCATAAAAAGAAACTTGGAAAATGATACAAATAAACAAATCGAAGATCTTTGGTATCAGCGGCTAGGACGGCTATAACAGGATCATATATTAAAGATAAGCACAGGTTAGTGACCAAGATAATCTGATGGAAGTTGATTTTGAACATATGGGTGCCTAACCTGGTTTGACAGTTCAGTACGTACCAAGAGAACATGGATAATTCCAGCCAGTCGGCTGACAAGATGCAGGGGACGATGACAGAGAGTTGCATACGTGGATGCCTAGAAGGCTGCAGAGCTGACAGTAGATTAAATCCGAGCTAACTAAGGAAGGCAGGATAATCCGCAGAGCGATTTCAAGAGAATTATTCTGGTTCAGTCCACAGAATAACCCGACAGAAGCCCGAAGACAGGCCAGGCAAACAGATCGGACAGGGACAGGCAGACTCAAAGGTCCAAATACAGAAACGGGTCAGGTTCACTCAATCAGAACACTAAAGAGACTCTAGAGAATTCTCAACGCCAGAGTTTTAAGAATAATCTGGCACTGATGACTGGAAACAGGCAGCATAAATAGGAGTGGGAACAGCTGGATCAGATATACAGTGATGAGAAAAAAGGGCAGAGCTAGACAGGTGTATGAAATGAGCAATCAATCCAGCCATCAGGGCCAAAATCATGACAGAATGAGCAAAGAAACAATGTGCAAGGACAGAAAAATGTGTGAAAAAGCAACACTATCTAAAACAAATACTTGAACATCTTTATAAAGCCTGGAAAACCGTTTATCAGTTTATTTCTGAGTGCAGACGTTGGAAGAATTAAGACATTTTCTAGTAATGCATGACACTCTTGGAAGTTATAGCTTTTTAATTCATATTCACCATTTAGTTGTGGGGATACTCCACCCTGACCTTTACCGCCCTCACCTTTATGTGTCATTACTGCAAACCTGTACTCCCTATGCCCGACCAGTCAGCCTGTTGCCATTTATATGTGTCACTCTGAGCAGCCATTTGTCCTCTCCTGTTCCGCTGTTCTTCCACAGATTGAAGTAGTCAACACCTTCAAGAGCGGCACCTCCTTTCAGGGGGCCGGGGCTCTGAGACGCCAATCATCCACCACCAGCCAGACCCAGGATGTAACCAATGTTTCTAGTCCTAGTCACGTGTCCTTGTCCAATGCCCTTTCCTCTCCTACAAGCACTACTGCTGCTACTGCTCCTCCCACTACTGGCCGTGAGTCAGAACTCTGTCAGTCTGCTTTTCTGCTCTCTTTGCTTCAGGGGTGCCATTCAGTCCCCATCAATCACTTATTTTTTAAACATAAATTATTAGACCTAATGCCACCAATGCCTGCATTGTGACGTTGGCATCTCTGAAGATGTGTCATTTTCTCTCTTGCTGCTTTTTTTTCTTTTACTTTTCTTTCTTATTCTGTCTTTTTGATGTTCACACTGGATTTCAAATTCATCTTGATATCTCCTCCCATGGTTGGCTGTACTGTCCTCTCATTGGTCAATGTGTGTTTGTTTCCTCAGAGTGCTAGGAGCACAGGACTAAGACTGATACCCACGGCGTGACATTTCAGGTTGTGAGTTTGTCTCCCTCGGCTCATCCCCCATACATCATCATATCTGTCCCTCCTCTCGTTTTTATGTCTTGACGGACGTTAATATTAACTAATTCCAAACCACTCACAAAGGGACTGAGTTAACATTCAAGTATAAATGGAAGCTTTGTTTTATTTGCACCCCATATTGTAGACAATGGCTAGAGATAAACATTTATTCTGCTTACAGTTTACTAGATTTTAAACATTGAGGTAGCTGCTGCTTTGTGGTTAAGGATATCCTTTTTAATACCTTGAATGATACTAGAAGTGTGTGTTCTCAACTAAAAACCTTTGATTCTGACATCTGTGACCATCTTTGTGTTTAGATTTTAGGCGTTTATGAGCCTGATCAGCACTTTAGGGTGAATCTGTTTCTGAATCCCTTTAAGTTGGAATTGTCTAATAAGAAATAGAAATAATGTATCAAGTATGAGGAAATCTTCCAACCTTACTTTTCTAAACTATGAGGTAAACATTTTTAAACTACATCATAGACTACTAGAATCCTGTATTTAGGAGTTATTTAATCAGAAATACTTCCAGGCTGCTCCAGCGATTATTTCCTTTCCAGCTCTACCAATAGCTATAAACCTTTTGACAAACGTAACAGATTTTTTTGCTTTTGCATCCTCTTGCACCACACTTAACCATCAATACAGCAATATTATCATCTAGTATATGGATATAATTGTTGCACTTATACTTGAATGTTTTCTCAGAAATTCTTAGAAATGCATGGAGTGAGAAACATTCTTCGACCGTCAGACCTCTGACAATGAAACATATTTTCATTATTCACCTTCTTTTGATGTCAGCTTTTCTTGTGCCAGTGTCCAGTTTGTCAATGTTGCATGTAGTTTGCGTTTACATCTTGGGCGTGTGTATGTGTTCATAATACTATAACCTGCTGTGTTTGCTTGTTGTCTAAATGTCACTTTTTTATTTGTGGGATGTGTTTGGTTGGTGTGAGTTTTATTTACACCGCAATGCTTAGGTTGAGCCAACCTCATGCAGATTTGACTCACTCCATTTGGGACAATGCCTCTGCTACGCTGTGCTACATATGAGTGTCTTGTGTGTCTCATCCAGAGGCTGTGTGGATATTCTACCAGCTGGTGGTCTGGTACCTCCCTCAACCCCCCTTCCCCCCAGAAGTTTTTAAACTGCCTCATTGGATCTTTCTAATCTAATCAACTTCTTTCTTACTGACCTCGTCCACCAGATTTCTTCAAAACTGCATGTGGTATTATCCTTTAATTTGTTTTTCAGTAAGTATTCCATTTATTAATATGGCTTGTTTCTAGGTATACAGCACATTGGACTAAAGCGTATACTTACAACGAGCGTTTTTGTTTCTTTGGTTTTTCTGGAAAAGTTTGATTTTCTTGTGTTTTTTTATGATTATGTTTCTCCCAGTTTTTCTTAGTGCACGCAAATTAAGTGACTTGTGACCTTTGCAAGCAGAAAACAGGCTGCAGTTGCCTTATTTCTTGTTTCTCTTTCACTTTTTCCTCCCTCACCTAATATTCTCAAATAGACGAAGAAAAGATTTTTTTCTTCTTCTTTGTCCATTCTTTTTCAAACTTTCTCTCTTTTCTCATTACGAGGTTCCCTTCAGCTCTTTTGATCTGTTCTGTATTTTCACCTCTCATGTTTTTCTTCCATTCCTTTCTTTGATCTTTTCACAACAGATCCGAGTTGTAAATGCATTCCGTAGCTCCCTCTACGAAGGCCTGGAAAAACCTGACTCCAGAACATCTATACACAACTTCATGACACACCCTGAGTTTAGGATAGACGACTCCACACCTAGTATCCCCCTCATCGATGACACGGACGATGATTCCGCCAGGAGGAGGACAAAGTACTCCAGCCAGCCCTCGTCTCCTAACAAGAACAACAACGCCATTGACAGTGGTATCAACCTCACTATTGACATCAGTAAATCCGCCGCCTCCTCCAGCCCTGCCAGCCCTCTGCACAGCCTGGAGACTAGCCTCTAACCCCTGTCCTGAACGCAGCCCTAACATCTCATTGTGTTCCCTCGTGGTCCAGAAGCAACTCCTCCAGCTTTCCCAGACCTTTGTTACTTCTACCACTTCTTTACACATGGCCGCTCAGTTCTCACCTTTCCACCCCTTCTAGTGCACCATTTTTTACCACCAACACAGATCTGTAAGCTTCAGCCATAAAGCTCTCGCCTCCTTTCAATATGGAGCTAATCTTAGTGAAATGGCAAGAATAAAAAGAAAAACAATTTCAAAAAGCTCCACAAAGCTACACGACCAACACAGCCATCCTGCTTTCGTGGTTGCATGTGTATGGTGGCAGCCTTAATGGTGTGTATGACACTATGCTTGTTCCGGTTAGCATGTACTGTAGAAAAGTGCAGCTGACTGCACGTTGTATGTGAACTGTGTCTGCAGCGATACTTGGAGGAGGACAAGGTGGAAGGAAACTGCTGAGGAATACGGAGCGCAAACAGACTTTATACTCTTCTTAAACTCCTTCTCTTCACTAATGGCATTGTTAACACTGATACAGTAATAGTTTGGATTAAATTAAAAGCCGTTGTTATTATTCTGAGTCTGATTATTCTTGTATTATTCTTAATGATCCTGCATGAATGTACATTACCCAAGTTTTATTTAAAAAAAGGTTTTAATTTTATTGAAGTTTGGTTCTGATGGGCTGGGCCTTGCAGCGGACTACAAATGTAAAGACAGCTTCTCTGAGTCCTCCCTCCCTGCTCTGTGTGGCATGAACATGTACCGGACTCTTGGAAAAAAAATGATATCATCTATTAACAGAAATGTGTGTTAAGGTGGTAGGGCTGAACTTGCACAGTAGTTTTGTACCTGAGGAAAAAGAAAAATGCAAAATATTAATGATGATGATAGCATTTATGGGATATATTCTATACATATAAACTCATAAAATCTATTTAGAGAGAGTTTATCTTTGTTTGTTGGCATGTTGCCTTGTTTCTGCTTTAATGGCTTAAATTACTTTGACTTATTTATGTCTTAAACAGAATGTAATTGTTTACACCCTCTTAGAGAGGAATTTCCTGGTTTCTTAGAGGAGGCAGACTCAGAGTTTCTTTGCTGTTACTACGGGAAAAACCATGTGCTTAAACTTGCCTGCTATATTGTCAAATAATGTAGATATTTGTAGAGGATAAACACGAAGAAGAAACCAAAATATAATGGGATGCATAGTACAGTACATGTGGAATCTTAGTATTACTCTATATGATTGTTGGGATCAAATAAGAGCGGCTTGCCTTTGGTTTTTCCTAACGAAGGTCTCCTTTTTGTAACAAAGGATGATATTTGTTTTGATTATTTTTTTTTTTAAATTAATTATGTTTTTGTTTTTTTTGCTTTGCTCCAACGCTGACCTGGTGTCAGTGCTTGTGAAAAAAGGTTGATATCAGGACCTTTTTATTTAACTGTTGTCGAGGTGAACCTTCTTGTTTAAAGGACTTCATGTTTTGAAAGTGTGTGCGACCAACAAAAGGCTGCAATCAAGTCATTTTAGAAATTTGTTTAAAGCTTGGAATATATTGTGCTGTTATTTTCTAATTTATTTTGATTTTTTTTTTTAAAGCTTCTTTCCATCTAGACACAAGAAGCCCCTAAATGCTGTTGGCATTTTTAACATCTAAAAAAAGAAGAACTGACAAAAAAACAAAACTAATAATAACAAAAATGGAATGTTGCTTTGACTCTTTTTCTATGACTATACATAAAAGATTTCCTGCACTATCTGGTTATGAATGAAAACTTCTGTGGTGTAACTCTAGATGTGCTTATGTGTGTTAACCAAGCTTGTCTTCCTGCCGTCACAGAATATACAGTACTCTTAGCATTTCAACTGTACTCACTAGTTGTAAACTATTTATTGTACTTTGACCAATCAGACATTATCAAAAGTCGCATACAGAAAGCACATTTCTACATTTTTTTGCACTCAGAAGGACAAGGCCACCTTACTAACCTCTATTAGTACTCTACCTAACCGAAGTCAGTGGCAAGCATGATGTCATAAAGTAGGCTCATTATGCAACTTACAGATAATATTTTTCTTTTTACATAAATTGAAATATATTTAGATGATGTTGTAAACAATCATTTCTCACAGCAGCTTTATCTTTCTTTTACTTGCTTTTGCATCCTCCCCCTCTGTTATTGTTAAGCCGATCTGTTCATCTGAAGAGGGTGCACAAGCTTTACTGGTCAGCTCAGGCATGTTGAAAAACATCTGAATAAATTCTGTCTTATTTAATTTGAAAAAAATATAGTGTGGGTTCTGATATTTACCTTAGAATATCTTAATTTATTTTGATATCTTTTCAGTGTCTATTATTTTTTTGTCTTTAAAATGAAAAACAATAAAAGAAAGCAAATAAAAATATACATAGTTATAGCATTTTCAGTATATATAAAAAAGACATAAGCCAACATTCTCAAACCATTTTTACATTGGGGAGGACATTCAGCTTTAAGAAACATGTTAAAACTGATTTTTGTAAATATAGTAATGGGTCCACTGAGGACAGAAACACTGAAAACAGTAACTCCTCCTGATTACATCATGCAACTCGATGAGTCATACTGATGATGCGGCACTTTGGCTGTTTGTAATCAATCACCGCTCCTGTCAGAGACACCTCCTAACCATAACGTGTTGTAACAACTTGTCATTATGTTTATGATGACATCCATAATGATGATATCAATGATACTTTTTGCAATATACTCACCTGCCTCTATGTACTGTATTTAGCAGCATGCAGTTTGTGGAACAAAGAAAAAGAAATGCCAACAGATAGCTTTTTGGCATACTTAGCCATTCATGGGTAAGTGAATTAAGTGTTCATCTTGGTTTTATGATATTTTTTTATCTATACAATAATTGTAAATAAAGAACTCAATGTCTTTGTTCATTTAATACTATGCAAAAAGTCATGGTTTTTCTGATTGTTAATCCCGTTAATTCGAGTGTTTTGTTGGAATGTTTGTGGTTTCAACCGTCAGTAAAAATAATGTAATGTAAATTATTTTCTAGACTGACGAAAAGTAAAAATGATGCTGAAAATTCTTATTCAATGAGAAAAAATTGACAACGATGGTGACTATGATGATTATGGACTTTGGCTCCTGCTGCTTGACTGATCCATTTATCACATTACTAACAGGAGCATCAGTGAAAATAAAGCAATCATCATATTACTTATATTAGGACTAACAAAAAAAACAAAAACTCATGTAATAAATTTCCAAGAGCATCATAATACTATGGCTGCCCTCGCCCCATGTGACATGTTCTCTTCTTATTTTTTTGTGCTTCCCCTTGACTTTGTTTTTGTTCTTTTTACTTAATTATTTAACTTAAAAACATATCAGATATTCTAAGATTCTAAGGTTACAGCTTTGTTGTTAACTAAACCCTAATAATGAAAAGGCAACACAGTAACATCTGAAGGAGCAGCAATTATTTTCTGGATTCTATCTTGTTCTCCTTTCCTCCTCTCCCCTGCTTGTACTATGTTGCACCTACGTATTTTCCGGACTCCAGAGTGTACTGCACCATAAGCCGCACCAACAAAGTTTCATAAATTTTTTTCTCGTGGCACCAAGAGCTTCTAATGAAAGATGAGAATTACTCGGCTCTTTATTTTAGCTCTGCAGGAGTTTCACACAGTATCTTAATTGGTTCAACAGTTTTAATGGGGAAAATAAAAATCAAAATGTGTGAATTTAGGAAATTTGTTTTCCGTCATGCCTGCTGCTAGCATGCGCTCGTGCAAAAAAAAAAAAAAAAAAAAATTAGCCCTTTCTTTCATTTCCAGTTTTGACTTCGACCCCCTGGCGGTTAGGAAAAATCCACTGAAATGGCAATTTCGTATAAGCCATTGGGTTCAAAGTGTGGGAAAAAGTAGAAGCTTATAGTCCGGAAAATACGGTAGTTAAAGTGCTCTAAATGGGCAAAATTAGAAATGAGTAGGCTGTATCAGATGGATACCTTTGGTCAAAGTCAGAGAGGGTTAATTAGTTAAAATCTTTATTTCTATCAGTTTAATCAAATTTCACAAAGAGATTTCAAGAAGGAGATTTCCCAGGATTCTGAATTTATTTAAAAATTCATTCAGGTAAAATAGAAAATACTCTAATATATTAAGATTAACAAAGTAATTATTTATCAAGCAAAATACCCTGTGTCATATGGTAAATGATATGTGCTTATCTAGCAGGTAAGGGGATTTAAACCTATTTTATGCTATGTTCAGTCGTTCATCCCTTCACATAACAATGATGAAAAGCTACATTGCCACAGCCGCCCTGGGGCACACTGACAGAAGCAAGGGTGCCATACCACTAGGCACCACTAAGCCATCTGACCATCATCAGTTGGTAATGCTGGTACGCGGTAGTGTCTTGCCCAAGAAGACAACTGAAACAGAGGGAGGTGGGGTTTCAACCATGGTCTCTCCAGATGCAGGATAGACTAATGCATCCTGTGCCACTAATGCTGATAGTTGCAAATAAAACATAGAAACCAAGCTTAACAACAACAAAAAATAATGACCCTAATTGTTATTAATACCTTGCTGATTTAAAAAAAGAATTACTCATAAAATTGGCCACCCAAAACATTTATATCACATTTATTACATTTATAACATTATGCATTATACGTTTAACATTCATAACATTTATATAACATTTATATTATATTTAAATATTTATACCAGTAAGAATATATAATTACCAGGATCTTGGTGGTTTCGTGGAGACAAAAAAAACAAAATTTTTTGGGTTAAATCATCATTCAAACATCTAACTTTGATCTCAAAGGAAAAAAATTGGGAATGGAAAGGTAGTGACTTTGTACTACTTTTGTTACCAGCTTTGGCAGCACCAGAAGGAATAAAATATCCAGCATAAACCACAAACTTGTTGTAAATTCAACTTTCATAAAACCAGGCTTGGCATGGTACAGGTCAAGCAGCAGCCATCCAATCAACCTGAGGTCACTCTAAGATCTGAGGTGATGGATGGATGGTCCCATGTTTGACTAATGACACAACTAGACCTTATTAATGCTCCATGAAACCCAAGCTGAATTAACTTACCTACTGGGTTAGTTAGGCTGTGTGCACGCCTATGTTGTATGGAGGGAAGTATAATCAGACACTGACAAAATAATGAGCGGCAAACTCTAATGCTGACAAATCAAGCACAGAAAACCATTGAACCTGGTAAAATAGGCATTCGACTCCTTCCCTGGATCAAGAGAGGTGGTTTTCTTGTGTTGAGTTCACCGACTCCAAATCAGTTTACCAAGAGGGACACTTCAGTAAAGAGATGGCTGACCAGCCAGACACAGGCTAACACTGTCCATTCATGAACATGTAGAGATTACTCTTTTGAGTTTCAGAAGGACCATCTAAGCTGAAACTTAAGGTTAATTGTGGATTTTCTCAAATCTTTCTGAATTCATAGATTAGTAAAATCTGATTACAATCCTTAAACATCCATCCTCATCTCAGGGAAATGTTTTTGTGTGATCAGCAAGGTAACTGACTCATCATCTTTTCATATAGGAGATAGTTTAACTTTAAGGTCATATGGGTTAAATTGTAATGAGCTGCAAAAATACCTAAATATCTGCTCTAGTCCGTATCTGCTGTATGCCAGGTTTTCACCACTGAAGCAAAGCTAAAATATTTTCAAAGGGCAGTTGAGATTTTTATTAAGCAACAGATTGATGTTTAAGATGAAAAAATCACAATAAGGTTATGAACACATTGAAGGAGAACAGACAAGGTTGGTGTGAAAGAGGTGGAACCTTCGGACAGAGTGAGAGAAAGGCAGATGATCTGTTTGCAAATCCTCCCGTTTGTTTATATAGAGGGGGAAGTTTTAAGGCCATAACAGGAAGTAAGTATACCCAACTAAGGTTCAGACTGTAAAAGAAAAAAAAATGTGCATTTTAATTTGTCGAAAAAAATAAATGGGTTAGGATTAATCTAAGAGGATAGACAAGGTCAGGGTCCACTTGATGCTAGAATGAAAGAAATAAGGTCTCGAAGTTCATTTTCATCCAATTCTAATCTTGCCACAGTTATGTGCCCCAAATCTGTAAAAGAACTTAGATCATTAAATCTTTATAGTATAACATTTGAATACATAATTCTGTATATGCAGCAGATCACTTAAGTTTTTTTTAAAGAAATGTATGAATCAGATTAAAATCCTTATGTGGAACAACTGACCGTGTTTAAACATGCAGTGATTTCTAGTCTTGATAAGACCATTTCTTGTTTCATGTTCCCTCAAAATTCCACTTTTGGAGTAGCTGTCATTGAACCTTTTCCAATGTGACTAGGACATTTTTATATATATATTTTTTAATTATTGGATGAATTCTATATGTCTATGGGTAGGAGCTGTTTTGAATGGGTTTGTTCTAATTTCTAAAATTCCTAAACCTTCTACCTGAGCAAAGGAAGTTAAACAGTCTCTAAACAGGGGTGAGAGTTAAGTGTTTTTATACTTTGGACAAAGAATAAGAACTAGCAATGTCCACTAGCAACAGTAGGCCATTATATAACCTCTTGCAGGGCTTCTGCTTGTTAATTTTCAACCAGCTTACTGCAGTGTTTAGAAGTGCACCTAAACAATTTCAATGGTGAATAGTTTTGGTGTACGCATTATGACAAAAAAAACGTATTCATTTTAGTTAAAATTTTGTTTACCCAGCAGGGATAAGTGTAACGAAAAATGGATGGATGGACGGATGGATGAAATAAAAGATATGATGAGAATTACAGAAAATAATTGAATAAAATGAATTTTATGTTATTCTAAATGTAAAAACTGCATATCTGACATGCATCCATCAGAGAAAAACCATTGTCCTCCACTAGGACCATAAGCAATAAAAGATCATTGGTAAAGATACTGCCACTTCATGGTGTGTGTTATTTAAGAATAAATAATAAAAGTAGAAGCAGACCCATAAGGTATAACAATAATGTTAACAGGACTCAACAAAGCTGACTCAAGAATGTGGGGAACATTCAAAAATCATTAGCTGCAGCTGTAGTCAGTGCTTCAAGAGTTACTAATCACAAAAAATACAGGAGCAAAACATTTGTTTTTTTATTTTTATTTAGCTGTAGGCCATAGTCATATTAACTAGCAGATAAAAGAGCAAAGATAGAAAAAAAAAGCACTTAAAAAAGGGTCGCTTTATGTGATTAATCTAGAGAACCTATATTTTGAAATATAGTTAAAGACAAAAGCAACTTTCCTTTGTTATCATTCACAGAGCTGCCCCTGTAGTCACAGAAATTATACCAAGCAACCTGATGATGAATGGCTTTTTTACACCACTAGCAATAAACAACAGGGAATACAATTAAAATTTCATTTAAAGCTTTATAT